ACCTGACCCACGTCTGCAGAAGAACAAGCCTGGGGCTGACCCGAACAGGGCCTGGAGCCAGTTCCTGCCCCCCCTGGAGAGCCAAGACATCCCGTGGGTGGAGGAGGAGACGCGGGGCCAGTGGAGCAACCCCAAGTGGTACGAGTGGCGGGAGAACCGCATCACCGCCTCCGTGGCCCCCAGGATCGCCAACAGCATGTTTGCCAACGGCAAGACGGCTAAGGTGCCCCAGTCCTACTTGAAAGCGGTGGTGAGCTCCAGCCCCAGCGTGCGGACGCCGGCCATGTCCTGGGGGGTCCGCAATGAGAAGGTGGCCGTGCAGGCCTATGAGCAGCTGAAGTCACAGGCGGTGGGCAAGCCGGTGCAGGTGGAAGACTGCGGCCTCTTCATTCACCGGGAGAAGAGCTGGATCGCTGCGAGCCCGGATGGCATTGTCAAGGAGGCGGCCACGGGGAAGGCCCTGGGGCTGCTGGAGGTGAAGTGTCCCTACAAGCACAGGAACAGGACAGTGCGCGAGGCCTGCAAGGACAAGGACTTCTGCCTGGAGGTGGTCGGGGACTCCTATGCCCTGAAGAAGGATCATGCCTACTTCACCCAGGTCCAGTGCCAGCTGGCGGCCGCCGGCTTCCAGCAGGCCGACTTCGTGGTGCACACCACCAAGGAGACGGCCGTGGTCCCCGTGAAGTTACACGCCAAGTTCTGGCAGCAGACGGTGCCCAAGCTGGAGAAGTTTTACACTGAGGCGGTGATTCCCCACCTGGAGGGGAAGGCAGATGGCTCCGTCTGGGCCAAGGCTGAGTAGACCCCCCCACCCTCGCTCACCAGGATGCTCGCTTGGCCGCACAAACCCAGCTTTGGCCCTTAGCATAGAAATTATGCCTGGTTTTGCTGTTGTTCTTGGACTGTTCGCTGCCTCTGCCCCAGTGCAACTGCCTCGGGACTGAAATGACGCACCAGCAGGACCCTGCTTTGGTAAGGGTCCCCTCAAACAGTGACTTCTTCCTGCCCCAGCCAGGCCAGCGCTCAGCCCCCAGTGCCTTCTTGTCCTGTCCCTCTCGCTGCATCCCCCATTTGACCCGACAGCACTGCCCGAGGGGAGCTGGCACACCTTTGGATCTGCAGGGGAAGCCAGTGATGCCTCTTTACTGGAATAACAAACTTACTTTGTGGAGAAAACTAGATCCTTTGGCAGCTCAGCTGTTGTCAGGACTAAATCATAACTCCATTCTGGAGTGGGGACAGAGCCAGGGAAGGTTTGTCAGAGCCCAAGAGCAAAACACAGCTTTTGAGGTAGTGATGTGCCTTAAGAGTTGCAGCAAGGGCGTGTGGACACCCCGAGCCATCGGACCTGCTGTTTCTTTGGAATAACCCATGATGCTCATCATGAATTAGCTGCAGCCTCAGGAAGACGGTGCCCATTGAAGAGGTCTCCAGCCCACACAGCTCCAGAGGATGTTCCCGTGGAGCAGCCCCATGCGCCGCAGCAGGGCGGGGAGGTGGGCGTCACTCCATTAAATACAACATGCACTGGCCCACTCGTTCCCTGTTGTTTGTGCAGCTCGTTGTTTACCTGGGGGGGAGCAGGGCTGGGTGGGATCCCCACACCAAGTCCCCTCCCAGCCACAGCAGAAGGGGAGCACTCAGGTCCCAGAGGGATGCAAGACCCAAGGCCACCAAACTATGCCAAAGCCACCACCGTTATGGCAAAAGTACTTTATTATATACATAAGACTCCAGCCACACTCCACAGGGCAAGGACCAGAATTTGCTATTTTACATATCAATACAAAGTAACTATAAAAACATAAAGCACTTTTGGGGCCCAGGCTTTCCACAGGAGGAGAGAGGCACAGGGACGAGCCTGGGGGCTGCTGAGTGACAGGGGGCTGCCCCACACCCTCCCCCAGCTGTGGTCCCACAGTAACCAGATGTGCAAGTAGGAAAGAACCCAGTTAAGAAATATAGTCATGGGGACTAGCAAGTGGGGGCTGTCCCACAGCACGCTGGGGGTCAAGCCGAGTGTCACCAGGACAGGAGTGGGGTCTGCATCCCCCAGGGAAAGTGCAGAAGGCACATGGGCCAGGCTCTTTGGAGGGGCTGTGAGGAGGAGGTGGGATCCAACAGTTGTTAGTGCATGTGGGGCCCCGGGAGATCACACACACACACCGCGCACAGGGGACACGGAGGAGGGGAAAGCCTTCCACTAAACTTAACTTAACCAGGGGCCTGGAGAGGGCATGTCTCCGGAGCAGCAGTTGCATAGCAGAAGGGGCTCAGGGCCCACTCTTGACAAGTCATTAGGTTTCACTCTATGCATCCAGGAAAAAACAACTCCTGCGATGGAGGGAGTGCTGGGAAGGAAGACCCTCCCAGCTCCAGGCTCCATCGGAGCTCAGGTCTCAGCATCCAGCTGGTGTTGAAGCAGATGCTCCACCAGACAGCCCTGCAGGCAGGAGATGGCCACAGGGAACAAGCTTCAGTTGTTTTAAACTGGAAGTGGAAAACATAGAAAGCTAACCAGAGCACCCTCCTGCTCCCCTTCCAAAGGGCTCCCAGCCCTGCCACGGCCAGCTCCGAGGACAACTGCTCAGTCTCCTACCAGGAGTCCCACCCCCCTTTCCCACAGGAGACTTCAGTGCAACTGGAGGTGAACCAAGGAGGGCTGCTCAGCAAGAACAGCCTTTGTAATCATATACCAGGGGATGCCTTTGCTGCTCCTGACCCAACAGGACTATCCTGGGGCCACAGGCACAGCAAACGAAACCAGGAGCACCACGGGCCAGGGGAAGGACCTCCCCTGTGCAGCCTACAAGGCTGATGAACCAAACATGGACGGTTCCACCAATACCCCCAAAGACGCAGAGCCCCAGTCTGCTTCAGGCGTCAGCAGGACCGATGTCCCTTCCCCTCCCACCCTGAGGGCAGTACACTAACATGGAGGGAGCTCGCCTGGGCTGCAGCTACTTGCTGGAGGAGAACTTGGTTCCCCGGGGCTTTGCCATCGCAGCCCACCTGAAGGTCCAAGGCAAGGAAAGGAAAACAGTGAGGAAAAAGGAGGAAGGGGAATCACATCTTGGGATAAGTGTAAGCTTCCACCACACCACAGAAAAACTACTTGGACTAGGTTCTCCTCGGCTGCCCTGGGGGAAAGGCACTGAGCCAGCTTTGTGCGAGGACAGAGATGTTTCCGAGTGACCTAGTGCGTGGCTGGACCACCCTCCTCTCCCCCCCCACCTCTGGGGTAACCGAGCTCCGTGGTCAACGCGATCCCCAGGGAGGATGCGTGTGGCAGCTTCCAGGAGTCAGAAGTGCAAGGGGGACAGTCCAGCCCCACGGCCCAGCCCCTCCCCTGCCATTACTGTGCATTGATTGTCTAGCCAAACCGGGCTACAGTCTTCAGTTTAAAAAGGGGACCCCCAGCCTCCCTGCTCTAGAGGAGCTTCAGTCACAGAAGCGCTTGCGGGGCACCGTCCGAGCTCGGTTCGAGCGGCGAATCTCCTGCTTGGCATCGCGGCATCGCTGGCAGATGAAAACCTCAGGCACGTTGGATTTACGGATCTTGGCACAAGAGAGGTGGATCCAGGTAGCACATTCGTTACATTCGATCATGGGCCTCCCTGCGAAGGGCTTCAGGCAGAAGCAGGTGATCAGATCCCAGGCATCGTCGTCTGGTCAGGGAGAGAGACACCGGTCAGAAACCACCTTACCAGCTGCAGGTCCAGCTGTGGCCACACTAGCCAGTTCCACTGGTGTTAAATGGGACAGCCCCCCACTCACCTTCTGCTTTGGTGTTGGGAGCTGCTGCAAATTCGACTGCTAAAGTTGCAAAAGGGGGGGGGAAAGAGGAAAAAAAGAAAAAAAAAAAAAAGACGAGATGAGCAAGGCGCCTCTACACCCCACTTCAGGCATGTTTCAGGTCTGTACTGCTCACTCTGCAGAACAGAGCTGCCAAAGGGCAGGCCAGCTCCCTGCCCTCTGCTCTTCAGTCCTCCCAAGTCCCGAAGGTACTCCCCTTGCTAGGGGAGGCTCAGGCCATGGACAAGCCCTCCCTGCAGCCAGCATGGCTGGCTGCAGCTGAGGGAGGGCAAATATTTGGTACTGGCTGGAACACAACAGGGCCCTCTGTGCTCCCTCAGACACTCACCACTAAGCTGGGAGCTCCCTCTGCTTGCATCTTCCCCTTCGCTTTGGTCCAAGGTACTACAAGAACTGGGGCTTTTCCTCCCTCCAGAGCAGGGGTCGTGCTCCTTTAGCTGAGGATCATCTGCTGCTGGCTTCTCGGTCTCCTGCGCTCCGTGCATCCAGTCCTTCTCCTCCTTCATCAGCTCCTCCAGGAGGGAGTTGGGCTGGGGGTCCCCAGCCGGGTTGAGGGAAGGCTCCAAAAGCTGCTCTTTCACGGGAGGCACCTGTCCCTCCAGTGCAGCCAGCTCCTTCACCCCGTCCTGCTCTGCCCCAGAGCCCTTCCCAGTGCCCAGTGGCACCTTCTTCTCCACCTCCTGCTCCAAAATGAGTTTCTTTGCTGGTGGTTTCTTCCGTTTGGTTTGCTGGGGCCGGACATCGTAGAAGCTGGTGGGGAAGGCAGGGCAGCTCACGAGCAG